TACTCGGTAAATGAACGGAATGCTGTAAATGGCAACAAAAAAGTTAGCTTAAAAATTCATAGTTATTTCATTTATAAAAGTTTAAAGTATAAACTAAACTAAGACGTGGACTTGCAGTAATATGAGGAAGAAAACAGACCCTAACAAGAAGAAATGGGATGTGATGTTCGAGACGATATGAGTGCGAGAGTTTCAGTAAACCATAATGTAACGAATATTCGACAACATATTCAAAACTGGCATCCGAATCATCTGCAAAAAAAATCGTATTGCGTTCGGAAAATGAAATATTTCGCTTATCTGCCCAATCCCGAAAGTCTGATCGCTCCAACCGCTTATTTGTATGCATTCTATCTTGCATACAAGCCTATTTTTGTTTCCTATCAGTGGAAGAAATCACAATGCGTACTGAAATTGAAAATCACTTCTTGCAAATATAGAAAAACCAAAGAAATAATATCAAAATGGGCAGCGCACCGAGCAAATCGTGCGAATCGTGATCATCACTCTCATCATAATCTGACGTCTCCGATGACATCTTTTTCGATTTACTATCTGATTTAGCAAAAACATTGAATAATGTATATTCTGAAGTTAGAAAATTAGTCCAATGATCACTCTTTTTCCTGAAACAATTTTAGAAAAAATCTTGAAAAAGAACATATGCTTAATGGTAAACAAACCTACTACATAAAAAAAGTTAATAGGGGCGGTTCATGCCGCCTCTGTTCGAAAAGTGGCATAAGCCGCCCCTTATCTAATCTGGTAGGGGAACCAAGATTGTATCAGGGAGAAAGGAAGGAAAAAAAAAACGCGAAACAACACTCGAAGCGCAAATCTATGGTTTTAGAGCCTTTAAAATCAGTTCAGATGTACTAAACTGTGTTAGAAGGCAAAGAATTTTGTCCAAAAACACCAGTTATATTTAAGCGAAAAATGAAAATTAGCAAGAGAGCCTCAATTTTTTTTTGGGGAGAAAAATTAAATAACGCACGTCTTTTATAAAGTGATAGCTACATTACTGAAATAAGATATATTTTAAAGGCCAAAAAAAAAAATTACCGATAATTTCGCCTTGATTTACTCCTCAATTCTTTGGGTAGGGCACTCGGTCCCTCCCTTAGAATACGCT